TCTTAAACACCAGTCACCCTTACCCAAGATGCCCCAGCACAGACAAAAGTGCCTGTACCCGGCCAGGCCTCCAAGGGACCCATGAGGGAGTGACGACACCAGGGTGGAAGCAGAGAGGCACTCACACCCAGACCCAGTACCCGGCAGCCCTCACCTGTCCTGGAGTCCCCGCCCTCCCCGTCCCTAGAGCGTGGAGAAGATGGCATTGAGAGCTTCTGAAGGAGGCCTGGCCCAGCACTGCCCGGCACGTCAACACACCAGGCACCCTCCTCCCACGTGCGTCCCTGGGCACAGGACATTTCTTACTGAATTGTTCACTTGTTTGCTGGGATCGTCCCACGTTCAGTGTCTCGTGACAGCTGGGGAAGGGGTCCAGCTCTAGAACGGCTGTGTCCCTCTCGAGCCCGAGGCAGGGCTGGCTGTTGCAGTGGTGACCACAAGCTAAGGCTGCCCGGCCATCTTCACATTGGATCTCAACCTGACAATCTTCAATCCGGCAGGAAAGACTGTGTTCTTTCTGTGCACAAAAATGAAAACTAAAGCTCAAAGAGCCTAAGTGTCGGGCTCAAGATCACATATTGTCCCAGAAACACATTCTCATTTAGTCCCGCCCGCCCACGTGGTGACGGGCCGCACACAAGCAAAGGTCTTGACTGTGGGGGCCTCACGCTTCCCACACTTCCGTGGGTGGCATCAGAAGTGACTTCTGAATTCTCATTTGCAGCTAAGAGATGGGCCTCGGGTGACCTTTCAAGTCATATCTTACCCAAGCCTTGTAAGGGGATCGGTGCAGAGCCGTTGTGCGTGTGAGGGGCCTTGTTTTAAAAGAAGGCTGAGACCCTGGAGGCCGCGTGCTGAGGGAGTGGTCCTCATGTGTGGGCGGCCGTCCATCCCCTGGAGATGGATATGTGCTGGGATCTCTTCCCAAGGAGCAGCATCCACAAGTGCCCTCTACAGACCTGGAAGGAAGGATGCCTATGCCAGAGGTGGGAAGTCAGTGTCCCTGAATAAAATTCCGTGTCTGAAATTAGGAGCTTGTACCTGGAGAAGAATGTGCAAACTTGGTGGCCGGCTGCATAGTGATGTTTGTAGAATTTCCAGCACTCCTCTATGCCAGACTGGAGCCACTTTCTAGAAGGATATTTGGGTTGTGTTTTGTAAACATCTGAAGCATCTCTTGAGCACTCTGGTTTCATGAGACCACTTTATCCTTCTCCTGTTTCTTAACCACGGGCACGGAATGTTCTGGACATCCCGCCTCAGGTGCCGTGTAATGTGTCCTTATGCCACCATAGTAAACATGGATGGTTCTGAGCTCAGGCTCTGCTGCTTGCAGCTGGACCATTCATCTGTAGATGGTTGTGAGGAATGGCACCTTCCAAGGCTGTTTTGAGACTGAGATTCTTGGCACTCAGAGTTGGATGCAGCACATGGAGCGAGAGCAGCTTGGATTAGAGGGCGTGTATCTGTGCACGCAGGGACCTCCACACACGGGCATGGATCAACACAGCTGTCCAAGACCCAGCCCCTCCATACCTGCAAAGCCAGGCCCTCTGCCACTTCAAGTCATCCGTCTCAGGACAGGGCTTGTCCTCACCTGTTTTCAGATTAAAATGTTAGCTTGCTTGTGGTGCCCTTTTAAGAACGGTGATCGGCCAAGTAAACTTGAAATCGAGGCTCCTGTCACCAAGGGTCTTGTGTCACACAGGCAAACGTCTTGACTGTAGGGGCTCCATGCTTCCCAGAGTCTCCTCCTTCCCCTGCCCCCAGTACCACTGGCCTCCATGAGGTGCATCCTGCCTGTGCCGGGGCCGCCACTCTTTCCAGGTTCCTTAGCTGTCCCTTTAGACAGGGCTTCTCAGCCAGCACTGTTGAGGTTAGGACTGGACACTTCCTTGTTGTGGGACACCTTGTGTGTCATAGGATGTTTAGCAGCATCCATGCCTCCCGCACTGGATGCCTGTAGCACCAGGACCCCCGGGCATGACAGCCAGAAATGTCTCTAGTCGTTAGGAAATGTCCCCTGGCATACAACAGTGATCCCAGTTGAGAAGCACTGCGTTATGTCCGTCCAATTACCTTCCCAGAAGCATGGGGCCTGCACCCTGTGGAGCTGTGGCTGCATCTCCTTGAGCCCCTCTGTGCCCGTCTGCAGCCTGGCCTCAGTGCCAACTGGGAAAGAATCCCTTGGAGTGTCCCCCCTCCCCCGGTGCGTGTACTTGACTGTGGGACCCCAAGATGAACCTGGCTTTTCTCAGTTCACCCCGGAAGCCTTGGCCAGCCTCAGTGCTGCTCAACAACACGCCAAAAGTCTCACTGTAAATAACGTCGCGAGAAAGTCATCAGCAGCCTGAGTCAGTAATGCTTCAGCACTGAAAAGTTCCCGGGCAGCTCGATTCAGACGACCATACTGAAATTATCTCCCTTCTCCACAGAAAGGGGTGGATAAGGGGATGGGAAAGGCAGCAGAACCCCATGGCTGGTGGAGGCTGCAGAGTCCACACCTCACCCTCAGTATCACCCCACCATCAGCAGCACCTTCATCACCAAGAAGCAGTTAATGAATATCCATGGGTGCTGTGCTGGGTGTTCTCTGGCTGAATAGATGGTTGGGGACCTTCTACCATGTGGATGGAGGAAGAAGGGGAGGAGGAGAGAGAAACAAAGCAGTGGACCCTGATCACAAGGGAATCATCTTCAAAAGCTAAAAAGAAATCACCAGACCAGGCACAGTGGCTCACACCTGTAATCCCAGCACTTTGGGAGGCCAAGGCGGATCACCTGAGGTCAGGAGTTCAAGACCAGCCTGGCCAACATGGCGAAACCCTGTCTCTACTAAAAAAAAAAAAAAAAAAATACAAAAATTAGCCAGGCATGGTGATGCCTGCCTGTAGGCCCAGCTACTTGGGAGGCGGAGACAGGAGAATCACTTGAACCCAGCGGACGGAGGTTGCAGTGAGCCGAGATCGTGCCCTTGCACTCCAGCCTGCGTGACGGTGCAAGACTCCATCTCAAAAAAAAAAAAAAAAAAGGAAAAAAATATCACCAAACAAATGTATGCAAGATACCAGTCCATCAGCAAAAAATAAATGATAACCAGGCATCCGGATAGGTACCATTTGTGTAACAAGGATTAAACGGTGTGTACGGGATGACAGTTTTCTCGTTTCACAGAGCCAGAAGTCTTGTCCTTGGAAATGGGATTTCATAGTGCTATTAATAGACTCAAAAAAGAGAAAGAGCAGAATAGGAAAGGAGTTCCCTTTGCTAATACAGTCTATTCTGAGAGATATTTCAGTGTGTGTGATCAGCTTATAAACTTTCATCCTGTTTTACCAGACGAACAGCTCATCTGCCAGTCAGAGCATTCTGGCCTTTCCAATTTAATTACACTTGTCTCTTTTTCAATTCTCATCTGGACCCCCTTCCGCCTGCTTTTTATTACTTTTGTATTTATTGATTGCCTGCAGCCTGTCTGCTCTGAGTTCCCTCACTTACTCAGTGCACAGGATGGACAGCACATTTTAATGTGACAGAACAGGCTTCAAACGTCAAAGCTGGTGGAAAAGTTTCCATTTCTTTTAAAATGTTTTCAGAAAGCAGACTGGTAATATTAAAAGCCTTAAATGCATTCATTTCTTTAAGATTATAATTTCACTCCTAGCAGCCTATCATAAGAATAAATCCAAATCTTAGGAAATCATCTGTGCACATTTCAGTAGTACTTATAATAGCAGAAAATTGGAAATGTCCTAAGTGTACAGCAGTAGATACACTCATGATTACATTTTGGCATATCCACGTTTGTTAAGTGATATTACAAAGATTTCATCATAACCATTGAAAGTTTTATATTATTCTGTGAAAAGTTAGTATACAAAACCTTATCTGTGTTTTTAAAACAAAATAAAAAACAGCTAGAAAAAATTACTAGGAGGAATTAACAAATGTTAATTTTGGATATCTTTGGGTAATGGAATTCTGCGTGATTTTTTTTTGGTCTTTCTACTTTGTGTATCTCCCAAGATTTTCAAACTGCAAAGGACGAATGCTGGAGGATGAATTCTAAAAGGGCAGAGACACATGCAGTAAAAAATAAAGATGAGAGAGAATTCAATAAGATCACGTAAACACCTGCTTCCCCGTAATTTAAACTGACTTGAAAGACATGAAGTAGGATTGATCCTTGGGCACATTTCACTTAGATTCAGGATCTTATTTTTATGAAAAGATTGGTTGCTGCCACCACCCTAGTTTCTTTTGTGAGAAGCGGTCAGCTGTGCACTTTGCTCTGATGAGACCATTCCGGGTCACGGCTTCCAGAGTGCGTGTAATCACCGCTGCATGTGCCTGGGGGAGTTGATGCAAGAAAGAAACTCATGCTCAGAAAAGGCTGCGCTCGGTCCCCTCTTTAAGCTCTGTCCTGGCAGATGTCCAGTAATAACAAAATAAGGATGTAGGGTGTGGCAGCTGTATCTGAGAGGTTGCTGTGCCACTGTCCTTATCAGAGGCTAATGGCCATGGTCAGGTCTATCTCGTGCTGGAAGCACTCTGGCCCCTGCATCCTGGCATGCATGGGTGTTCAACACGAGCTAGCTGTTCTCCTCCTCCTCCTCCTCCGAGCTCATCCCTTCCACAGCACCTGCCAGGGCAGGACAGGGTCCTAAACCGCATGTAAGATGTGTTCATCCAAACTGCCTGACCACAGGACCCCGCTCTGCCTCTTTTCTCTGCCGTACTCGGCGCCTGCTGGCCTGCCACAGAGTGTGATTATCTACCACATCTGTCATTCACCCGTCTCATCCACCAAAAGGCAACCTCTGTGAGGCAGTTTTAGTCACTGTTGTACCACAAACCCATAGGCCAGTGGTTACACTTGACTGATGGAGATTTTGAATGAGGAAATGGACATGGTAGCAGGCTGCCCCGCTGGGGTGCTTCGCCATTAAGCCGGGTCCGTCTGGATGAATGAACTCACTGTGCTCTGTGTTTCCCTGCAGTTCGAGATGCTCACGGGGTCCCTGCCGTTCCAGGGGAAGGACAGGAAGGAGACCATGGCCCTCATCCTCAAGTGAGTAGTGTGGGAGCCCCCACAGAGACCTGTGAACACCCTCTGATATCAAGAGCTGCCGCCTCTCAACCTGGAACTGTGAAGTTCTAATTACATTGCTAGGCTTACATGCCGAAGTATTGTAAGCTGTTTTCTAAAAGTCACGGTTTTACACAGAATGGTAGCACTCTTCCACCAGTAGCAGTGGTGATAGGGTGCTGGGCATTCTAGTGACAGTGAGTCAAGGGAGCAGTTGCTGGTTTGGCTCATCCTGCTGAGTGGTTCTGGTGAACTCTCCTACCATAGGTAGTTTTCCATCAGTAAGTCCCTTAGAATGTGTAGTGGCTGGTTTTCAAGTGTGATGATTGGTGACCTCCCAGAAGTAAAGTGTAGACAGAAAAAGACACAAGGCCTACAGGGCCTTGTCCAGAGAGACCCTGCTACAGGGAAAGGAGCAAGGGTCTCCTTTCCCTCCCCACCTGCTGACCCCATTCTTACAGCACTCCTGGTTGACCTTGGCAGGACTCAGTATTATTTTACCATGTGACTGGTTACAAACCATTTTCTGCTTAATTCTCATGAAAAATCATTTACTAAGCCAAGGTTTTGCTCTCAGACTGTAGGAAGAAGCCTGATCCCCATGCCACCTTGCAACAGAATCCTAAATGTGAGCAGACACCGCCAACCATCACTGTCCCAGAGCAGATGGAAGGAGGGCAGGAAACAGAGAGGCTGGGAGTCCCTAATCAGTTCCTTCCTAAGTGAGGCCACTTGGTGGAGGAGTCATAAAGCCATTTGTCCTCATGAGCCACTCTTGCCAACTCTGTTTGCAAATGGACACGTAACTTTGATAAAATTGAGAATCACCTAAAACACCACCAGCTCGGCTTTTGTAAGCTCTGTCCTTATGCAGATGGAAGGAGAGAGGGGAGTGAAGGAAGCTCCATCGTGAGGATGCTTTTGTAAAGCTAAGGGGTGTCTTTTTATTTCATCAGCCTTTTCCTCCATCAAGGGACCTTGAATTGCAGCAGACACTAAGAGCTGCAAGTCAGGACCTTCGCGTGATTCTCGTTGTTCGAATTTTAAGGGAGAACAGGTTCTTTACTTTTTCTAAAGCTGGAATAATCCCTGACAGCAAGTCACGGGTGTGGTGTGGCCTCAGGGCATTCCACTTGGGAGGGATGGAGAATTTCTGGAGGGGAGCACCAAGTTCTGTGCCCGGAGTTTCAGTGTGCTCTGAGGACCCTGGTGGCTCTGAGACCCTCCTGGGGTTTGCAGGTCCTCCTCTCGCAGATTTTCTTCATAGCATTGCAACAGACTGAGCACAGGGCAGACAAGAGGGTCCAGCTGTCTCCTGTGAGCCAGGAAGAGACCCACCAAAATGCAGAACAACGCCACGAAAGGCTTTTTATATGTTTGTTTGGGAAAACATAGATAATTTCCATTAACAATGCTATTTATGTTAATGAGAGTGTTACTGTTTTTTAATGATTTTATTAAATAATACGTTTATTAATAAAAATATTTATTAAAATGAATTAAATATAAATTATACAGATTTCTCACTTTACTTTCTACTGTGGTAAATATCACAGCTGTATTCCACATAAACAAAAGCTCTTTGGTGTCCTCAGTAACTTTTAAAGCATAAAAGGGTCCTAAGACCCACGTGTTAGAGCATGGCTGCTCTGGGTGACTGTGACTGAGGTCTCTGAATGCTGACTGGGGCCCTCTTTATAGCTTGTCCTTGTTCTCCTAAAATAGATCCTAAAATAGGATTCTGTTTTTCAGAGCCAAGCTGGGGATGCCGCAGTTTCTCAGTGGGGAGGCACAGAGTTTGCTGCGAGCTCTCTTCAAACGGAACCCCTGCAACCGACTGGGTAAGAGTCCCCGGGACACCCCACCACGGGACACCCCACCATGGGAACATGCAGGGTGCTGCCCCCCGAGCCACAGTGGAGACGTGGAGGGCTACCCACCTGCTCTGGCCCAATGCCGACTGAGGTCACTGAAAACAGACCTCACCTAGAGGTTGAAATAGTACCAGTGCCATCTGAGCTCCAGGAAAAGAGGCCCCTTCACAGCTTCTAAAACACATAGTTGCTGCCAAAATACCATAAGCTGTTTTCTAAAAGCCACTGGTTTTACCCAAAATGGTAGTGTTCTACCAATCTGACTTCCCTGAGTTTTGAAAGTCTATCAGCTAAGGACAGAACCGTTGAAAAGCTGCTTCTAATTTAATTTTCCCTAAATTAAGAAACCTCCACATCTGTTAAAATCAGGATCTACTTTAATATTAACTACTGATTGATTTTCTTTTTGTGTATGTGACAGTGTATTGAGGGTTACTCCGTGGGCTGGGCAGGTCTCAGCGAGTGGGCGTGGCCGTGTTGTCTCAGAGTCAGACAGCAGCGGGAGCAGGGTGTTTCCGGTTCAGACAGCAGCAGGAGCAGGGTGTTTCCGGTTCAGACGGCAGCCGGAGCTGTTGCTTCCGGTTCAGACGGCAGCCGGAGCTGTTGCTTCCGGTTCAGACGGCAGCCGGAGCAGGGTGTTTCGGGTTATTTTATTACACAAGAAAACAAAAGGAACACGTTCTGTTCTGGTTTTTTTTTTTTTTTTAACTCTAACCTCACAGATAGAAGACATATCAGAGGGAAAGGCAAAAATTAAATCAGGAAATATTTCATTTCGGAAAAAATACTAGATTTTCCTCTCTGCGTGCCCCAACCCCAAAGAAGGATGGACCCATTTAGCTTCTTCCCCACATCAGCTTCCATTGCAGGGAACTTTTGCACTAACTTGCAATCCTTCAGTGATTAAAAGTGAAGCTAGTCAAAAGTACCTTCCTACTCCACAGTAATATTTTCACAATATGAGGTAACTGATGTCTAACTTTGTGATCTTAGAAAAAAGGAGTTAAGGTGATTTTAAAAAATCAACATCTATGTATTTTAAAGTACTGAGTAGTAATTCCCATGAAATTCATCTTGTAATGAATTGTCATAGTTGTATTCACCTAATTAAACACATTTACATCCAACTTCTAATCCAGATTTTTATCACGTAAACCACTCTTCCTGCGGATTCGTCTTCATAGGAATTCTTTACTTTATGTAAGGATGTCCCATAGTTGTCTTTACGAGGCAGTTCTCCTCCATGTAAGCAGATATTTTAAATCCCACTTTACAGACCTTTCAGTGATCACCCACTGTCGATGCCTTTGTCCACTTGGCCTATTTCCATTCTTCCACACAACGCAGTAAAGCAATTCCTCCTTGTCACTGAGCACCTCTGCGTGCCAAGCGTGGCTACCAGGAGAGCAGGTGACATGGTGAGCTCCCCGTGGCGTGGGTGACATGAGAGCAGGTGACATGGTGAGCTCCCTGTAGCGTGGGAGCCATGAGAGCGGGTGACATGGTGAGCTCCCCGTGGCACGGGTGACGTGAGAGCGGGTGACACGGTGAGCTCCCCGTGGCGCAGTGATGTCACAGGGTGTTCTGCCATCACTGTCTGCCAGTCACTGCGGGCCAGTCGAGAAAGCCCAGGGCACATGGGTGTGTCATCGCTGTCTGCCGGTCACTGCAGGCCAGTCCAGAAAGCCCAGGGCACATGGGTGTGTGTCAAGAGAGTAAATCCCTGCAACATTTCAGCACCTTGGTAAAACCATCAAAATGTTAAACGTATGCACCCTTTTGCCCGGAAGTGTTACTGCCAGAAATCTCTCCAACAGAAATAGCCATACCCACATAAAAGGGATACAAATAAACAGTGTTTACCAAATATCTTCCTGTTTAACAAAGACCTGAAGATGAAGTAAGCCTCGATCGATAAGGAAGTCATTGAATCAATTACAAAACATCCACACCACGGCCTGGGGCTGGAGGACAGTGTCTCGGCCATGATTCTGCACCGTCCGCATTTTGGGCTGGTTAATTCTTGTTTTGGGAGCTGCTCCGTGCATTGGGGCTGTTTAGCAGCATCCCCACCCCCACCCCGTGATGATCAAAAATCTCCTGACATTGGCAAAGTCCCCCTGTTGAGAATCTCCACATTGCTGGTACTGACATGGAAGGGCCAGAGTCTAGACTGAATTGCAGCCCGCATGGCTGGAGAGTGTAGACTCGCCCTGCAGTGGAGCCCGTGCCACCCACACCCCAGTGCATCTGTGCCAGGGCACATGGCACCATTGGACCCAGCCCCCAATGCCACCTGGCAGGGCCCTGTGCTGGTGTCTGTGGAAAGGACTGTGTCCAGTGCATTGGATGAAAACTAGCTAGTAGATCACTGCATACATTTTACAGCACTGTCCCCAGTCGAGAGTCTGAGAGGCTGGGGAACTGTCACCCAGACAGAGGCAGGTTCCTTAGAGGGATATTCGCCAACAGTGCTGTGGACAAAGCTGAAGGCCCCAGCAGAGCAGCCCCAAGTCACCGAGATGCCAGTTGGGGGCGATAATGAGATGGGAGGCCCAGGATAGAGAGTGCTCGGGACCAGAGAGGGGGACACCGGGTCAGGGTAGAGGGCCTGTGCTGCAGCACACACAGGGGCACTGTGTGCGTGGGTGTGTGTGTGCGCGCACGCCCACAGGTGTGTGTAGGGTTCATGGTTTGGAGGAACCTGCCAACCAAACAGAATTTTTGTCACATTGTTGTTACTAGGACCCCTCAGCAAAGTCCCAGATGAGACCTGAGATTCCAACCAAGAATCATCAGGACTCCTCCTTTTCGTCAGTGGTGACAGTCATAGTTAGCCAGGGTCACAGCCACGTTTCCAAGAGATGTGCAGCTCCTAAAGCTGTCTGTACCTTGGCCCTTCACTCACTGGTCCTGGTGCACACCCCCGATTACACAGTGACTCAGCTCAGGACACGCAGCAAGGGCTCAGCGCTTGCCCTTAGTGCCCAGAGTCCCTGTGTACACGGGGCCTACTGTGGACAAGACCTCACCCTCTGAGAGTGGGGTCCCCAATGGTGGGAAATGCAGCCTTGGACAGAGGGACAGCCTGGGCTGGGAGAGGCAGGAAGCGCCTGTGTCCCACCCTGTGTCCTAAAGTTGCCGATTCACTGCAGTTTTCCCAAATCTGGGTGTGGTCTGGCCTTTTGTTTGCAGACCCCTGTTCATCACTGTATGTCTGAGGAGGTGGGGGAGGCGGTGTTTCTTAACTCTGAGGGTGTGTTTGGAGACAGACGCAAGTTGAAAAGCGTGTCCCTCAGCTAAGCCAATGCATGGCAGCGCCCTGGTTTGTCCAAATGCCATGTCAAAGGTCATGTTTCTGATCTGAGTCTTCCAGGTTGTGAATTAAATTGAGTCCCTTTCATTTAAGTCTCCGTCAGCAGTAAAAGCAATGCAGAAGTAACCCTTCCTAGACAGGAGGGATCGGGGGCTCACTGTCAGGGGCTTGCTGCCCAGTTCAGTGGATCTCAACCCACTTCAGAACATGCCTGCCTTAGAATCAGGCTTGCAATGCTGTGAACTACCACGAAATGCACAGAAACATCTTTGCATGCCATTTCTACTTGTCTCTCAACCTTGAAGGCTGCCCACTTCTAGAGCCCCGGTCTCATTTCATCAGCCTTTTCGGTGTCTAGTCCAGAGCTGTTCTTTTCTGTGACCGTGGGTTGCACCTTTATTGTGTCTGTGGCTCTCCCCTCAATGTTCTCTATGCTGCTGGGTGTAAGCACTGCCTCCTCCACATAGCTCTCGGAGGCAGGCCCTGTGGGCGGTGGGAGAGGGTGGGTGGACAGCTCCAATGTTCCCCTGCCTGGGCGGATTTCTAATGAACCTGGAGAACAGGTCGTTCTCCAAGCCTCAGGTCTCTCCCGGCACAGTGCTGTTGATGAGGATGAGAAGATGCCTCGGCACTGCACTAAGACAGTGCATCATCTGACTTGAATTCTCACGACAGTACTTCAAAGCAGGTCAAACAAGAAACTTACGAAATTCACTTATGAAAACAGGTGTATCCATAGGAATTACTTTTAGCTGCCAGGAATAGAACCGTTAGATAATTTTAAATTTTTTATTCAACTAATTTAGTTTTCCAAATCGCAGTTTCATTTTCTCTTATTAACGCAGTACGTGGTCGTTGATGAGTTGTAGACGTTGGCAGCTGAACTACTGCTGTCAGGAGCCCAGATCTTCCTGTGGCTTCTGTTTCCCATCCTCAGTTCTCTGCCGTTTCATCCTTATCCTTCGTGCCTTGTGATGACAGCGTAGCTGCAACAGCTCCTGGCATCACATCCTCTCTGCAGGAGATACAAAAAAAAAAGGAACTGGATGGGGCCAACTGCCTCTGTCTCCTTTATCATGAAAGCAAGGCTTTTCTGGAAGCCCCTGGGAGTTCTCTGTACTTCTTGCTGGCTGAAACCCTGTCCATGGCACTCGTGACACATGGCACTGTAAGGAAGGCAGGAGACCAAGCATCTGTGGTTGGAGGAAGGAAACGAGGGCTGGAGTGGCGGCTTTACTGGCCAGGCAGCTGGGCCGGCCACAGGTATTCCCTGAGTGTTGAGATCCAGGAAGGCAGAGGTTGTGTCTGGTTCATCTTTGTGTCCAGCTCCCAGACCACACAGAGCCCCTGGTGAATACACTTGAACTCAAGTGAATTGAAGGAATTGCAGTTGTTGTTTAAGGTGCTCTGAAAAGCTCCTCGCCCCGAAGTGTGTGGAGTTTGGTCGAGCCTGAGCCTTGGTGCTACTGCTTCATCTCTATCCATTTTCCCCTCAAGTGGTAAAGCAGAAAAGACAGCACAGGTTTGCGGGTACATCACGCCTTGGCCCCCGCGGTGCCCACTCAGATGCAGGGGCTCTGCCTGTGGATGTGGACATCATGCTGGTTCTATGCACTCACCCAGAATCCTTGTTCACAAAGTGTTTTTCTCC